AGTAGATCTGAGTATTGGGGTAAAATCTCAAATAATAATGGTGGGTCTAGTGTCAAAATAATGAATATGATCAAAGTAGAGAGAGAGTAATGTGGAAATCATCTGCCCTACAGGTAGGGGGAGGGTATAGGATAGGGGTATACTGGGGTTTTTGGTGGTGGAGAATGGGCACTGGTGAAGGTACGGGTGTTTCATTGTATGGCCAAGACTTAGACCCGAAAGTTTTGTAACTGCTCTCATGGTGATTCATGGTGATTCAATAAATAAAATTATTAAAAAAAAAAAGTTGTGATTGGACCATCCTCTTAAGCCAAGACCCTCTATAAAATATGTGTGTATTTGGCAATAAAGTGAACGGCCATTGGCTGTCTCCCAGAGTGGTTTCTCTGTGTGCCTGACATCCTTTATCCCATATCTACCTGGACCTGGAGCGTAACATGTCTGAGCACATAGGGGAAAAACTGCTCCCCAACAATCTACCACAAGCCCACAGTGAGAATTATTCTCAACAGGGAAACCTAAAAGCCTTCCCTCTAAGATCAGGCACAAGACAAGGGTGCCCATTCCCATCACTCCTATTCAATACAGTATTGGAAGTACTTGCTATAGTAGTTAGGCAAGAAAAAGATAGCAAGAGCATCCAGAATAAAGACTTCAATATCAGACCTGAGTTCATTAGATACATGGAGGAAAATGTAGGCAAAGCCCTCCATGACACTGAAGCTAAAGGAATCTTCAAAGATGAAACATCACTGACCAAAAAAGTGGAAGCAAAGATAAACGAATGGGACTACATTAAAATCCAAAGTTTCTGCACCTCAAAAGAAACCGAACCAAGATACAAAGACAGCCCACAGAATGGGGAAAATTATTTACTCATTACCCATCTGACAAGGGGTTAATAGGGGCTAAGGTATATAAGGTACTGGTAAACTTTATAAGAAAAAAACATCCAACCACGTCGAAAAATGGGGAGAAGAAATGAACAGAAACTTCCTCAAAGAAGTAATTCAAATGGTCAAAAGGCACGTGAAAAAGGCGCCAGGATTGGTCAATGGTTAAAAGCTTGCCATAAGTGTGTGTGTGGCCCTCAGAGACTGGCCCACATCCAAAAGAACAAAAGCAACCGATGCTGGTGCGGATGTGGTGAGAAAGGGACACTCCTTCACTGTTCGTGGGAATGCCGACTGGTTCAGCCCTTTTGGAAAACAGTATGGACCATTCTCAAGAAATTAGAAATTGAGCTCCCATTTGACCCAGCAATACCACTCCTGCGAATATATCCCAGAGAGGCAAAGATGTATGGTCGAAGTCACATCTGCACTTGTTTGTTCATTGCAGCACTCTTTACAATAGCCAGAATCTGGAAAAAACCTGAGTGACCGAGAACAGATGACTGGTTAAAGAAACTTTGGTACATCTACACAATGGAGTACTATGTAGCTGTTAGAAAAGATGAAGTCATGAATTTTACATACAAGTGGTACCACATGGAAAGTATCATGCTAAGCGAAATGAGTCAGAAAGAGAGGGATAGACATAAAAAGATTGCATTCATCTGGGGGATATAAAGTAACAAAATAGGAGATTAATATCCAAGAATAGCCACGATCAGTACCAGGAGGATTACTCCATGGCTTAGAGGCCAGCAGGGCACTCTAGGGGGAAAGGGCAGCTCAGATAGAGAAGGGAGCACCAAATAAAGGATGTCTGGAGGATCCTCCCAGGAGAGGAGATACATGTTGAAAGTAGACTATGGACTGAACACGACTGCCACTCAATGCCTCTTTTGCAGACCACAACACCCAAAAGAAGAGAAAGAACAAAAGGGAATGCCCTGCCACAGAGGCAGGGTGGGATGGGGGGATGGGTGTGGGAGGGATACTGGGATCCATGGTGGTGGAAAATGGGCACTGGTGGAGAGATGGGTACTAGATCATTGTATAATCGAACCCAAGCACAAAAAATTGTAAATCTACAACTGTACCTCATGGTGTTCCACTAATTAAAAAAAAAATGTGTGTGTGTGTGTGTGTGTGTGTGTGTGTGTGTGTGAAGGATGGGGAGATGTGGGTCAAAGAGCAGATAGGGGGCCAGAGCACAGCGGTTAGAATGTTTGCCTTGCATATAGCCGACCCGGGTTCAATCCCCAGTATCCCATATGGTCCCCCAAGCACTGCAGGAGTAATTCCTCAGTGCAAAGCCAGGAGTAACCCCTGAGCATCACTGGGTGTGACTCAAAATGCAAAAAAAAAAAGCAGATAGGATAGAGAAGGGACCAGTATGACAATAATAGTTAGAAATGAGCACTCTGGAAAAGAACCGAGTACTAAATGTAGGTAAAGGGATATACAAGATAACCTTTCAGTATCTGTCTGTAAACCATAATGCTCAAAAGGAGAGAGGGATAGAGGGAGGAAGGAAGGGAGGGAGGGAGGGAGGGAGGGAGGGAAGAAGAGAAATAAAAGTGCCTGCCACAGTCAGGTGTGGGGGGGGAGGGTGGGTGTCAAGGGAAACTGGGGACATTAATGATGGGAAATGTACACTGGTGAAGGGAAGGGTCTTGGAACATTACATTACTGAAATCCAATCATGCACAACTTTGTAACTGTGTATCTCACTGTGATTCAATACCAAAAAATTTAAAAAAAAAAAAGACATGGATGTCTAAAAGGCACATGAAAAAATGCCCTGTATCACTCATCATCAGGGAAATGAAAATCAAAACAATGAGATATCACCTCATACCAATGGCACATATTGCAAGAAGAAAAACCACCAGTACTGGTGTGGATGTGTATGAGGGCAGGGTGAGATGGGGTGGAGGGGAGAAGGGAAGGACCCTCACTGTTGATGGATCCAGCCTATTTTGAAATATGAACACCTCCAGAAACTAGGAATTCAGCTTCCATATGACCCGGCAATTCCATTTCTTGACACCTACTCCAAGGGCGTAGGGTTTTTATTTAGAGTATAAAAACTCTATACAGAGCTTTTTTTTTTAAATTGGATCACCGTTAGAGTTATAAACTTTTGTTTTTGATATTTATAAACTTTTATGACTACGTTTCAGTCATGCAATGATCAAGCATTCATCCCTCCACAAGTGCACACTGTTCCCAGTGTGCCTCCCTGCCACGCTAGAGTTTTTTTTCTATTTAATTTTATTTTTTTAAAGTTGTTCACAATAGTTCATTACAGATAACATTCCAACACCAATCACTACCGTGCCCCTTCCCACCACCAAAAGAACAAAGTGTATGAAGATTACTGTATTTCAACCGGGAGCCATGTAAGTCCTTGTGTAAGAGATTACAAACATATATGTTAAACCCAAACAAATGTGTGCTATTTTTGGTACATCAGTCAGCTAGAGTATAAGTGATGAGCAGCTGCTTTTGCCACGCACACCCAGGACATTCTGTGTCGCTTTCTCCTGGGAGCTTTATTTCATAGTCTCTGGATCTTGGCCATTGGTGAGATTATATGGCACTGGAGACAGTCACAGTGGGTGTCACTGCCAAGCTACTGGAAAACTGGGGAGCCGGGGGTAGGAGGCCCAGTCCCGTTCCAAGCGAGTTTGGAGATCTCGGTAATAGGTCCCGCATACCTGGTTTTTTCTGCAGGTTCCCCTGTAGGTGAGGCTGAAGTGAGCCTGTGGAAAGTGGCCATGAGCATGGCTGTGAGTTTGGGTTCTAGAGGTTTTCGGCTGCCGGGGTTTATTACAGAGTTTTTGAACATATCTTTCACTCCTGTGATCATTGCAGTCAAAACCTTGAAACGATTCAAGTGTCCAAGAACAGATGAGTGAATAAAAAAGATATGGTGCATAAACAAAATGGAATCTATTCTACTTAAAAGAAAGATGAAGTTATTCAATTTGTTGCCACGTGGATGGATCTGGGAGTATCATGCCTAGTAAAGTCAGTCAGGAAAGGGAGAGAGAAAGAATAATCCCTCTCATATGTGGGATACAAAATCATGTTAGGGGAATAACAATTGCCCAAAGGCAACAGAAACCTGGTTTTTAGATGAAGTTTATCACAGGGAAGGGAAGTGGGAAGGAAAGGGTAGGAGGGGACACACTGAAACAACCGTGAAGGGAAGTGGACAGTCTGGAAGAGGGTATGGTGAGGGCTCATGTCCTACATGAAATCCTACCATTGATGGTATTGTCAAACACTGTACCTTAAAAAAAAAAAAGGTGGAGAAACTACTCAGAATATAATCAAAGGAAGTCTGCGGGTACACAAGAGGAATAGTTTAGGGCATCACAACTGATAGAAAATCTGACCTACTCTTTAAAAAGTTTTTTTCTTCTTTTGGGTCACACTCCGCAATGCTCAAGGATCACTGCAGGCTCTGCACTCGGGAATCACTGCTGGCATTGCTCGGGGGACCATATGGGATGCAGAGGATGGAATCCGGGTCGGCCGCGTACAAGGCAAACACCCTACGCACTGTCCTGCCCCTCCAGACCGACACGCTCTGAAACCACCTAAAACACCTTCAGTACCAAGCAAGGTCGGCGATGTGCATCTGGTTTTGTTGCGGGAAGGAGCAGTGCTGGGGTTTCGGGGAGAAACAGGCTCCGTGACACCCTGCACAGAAAGAAGCGACCGTCTCCAACGACTCCCAGTTTTCTTCACGGCCACTTTTCCGCTGATGGAGAAACCCAAAGCGTGGACACTGGGGAACGACTGGCCCCAGCTGTCCTCGTCGGTGTCCGTACACTAACCAGCTGTTTCCCACCGCGGTGTAGAACTGCTACTTTCACTGCGGAGGGGACACTGGTCGTAAGGGCTGGACCCGGGCCACAAGCATCGGCCCGCGAACCCCGGAGCGCCGCTCACGCCATCCCTCACGAGGCGCCCGGGACCCTCCGAGGCGCGCGGCGGGGCGGGACCCGCGGCCTCTCCCCTCGGCGCGCGCTTCCCCTCACGGGCGCGCGCGTCCCAGCCGCCGCCGCCACCCTCCCAACGCCAGCCGGCCTCGCTCACCGCTGTCCTCTCCCTCCAGAGCCCGCTGCAGCCGGGCCGTCTCCAGGTCCAGCGTGACGGCCAGGCCGCGCAGCTTCCCGCAGAAGCCGCGGATCAGCTCCATGCGTGTGAAGTGCAGAGCCCGAGGCTCGGCTTGGCAACGGAAGCCCGCGAGTACGTGAGCAGCAGCCCCCGCGGGTTTGAATCCGCGCGCGCCGGAAGCGTCCTGGGTCTCGCGAGAACCGAAGCATCACGGGCAGGGGCGGGACGACTGCACTTCCGGCGTCGGGGCCAGCGGAGCCTTTCAGCGGGCGAGCGCTTTTCCTCGCCGTTACGTGGTCGGCGAGCGCTTTTCCTCTCCCGGAGAGCGGCGAGCGCTTGTCCTCTCCCGAGACCCGTCCCGACCTTTCTCCCGGGGTCTCCCGTCCTCCCGCGGCCGTCCGACTCGCGTCCCCGCCAGTGCGCGCCATGTTCCTGACGGCCCTCCTCCTCCGCAACCGCATCCCGGGCCGGCAGTGGATCGGGAAGCACCGGCGGCCTCGCTTCGTCACCCTCCGCATGAAGCAGAACGTGATGCGGCGCCTGGAGACGGAGGCCGAGAACCACTACTGGCTGGGCAGGCCGTACCTGAGCGCCGAGCAGGAGCACGGCCACGCGGCGGCCCGCAGAGCCGCGGCCTTCGAGGCCATCAAGGCGGCCCACATGGCCAAGTTCCCCCCGCACAGGCTCGTCCGGGACCAGCTCGACCACCTCAACGTCTCCAAGAAGTGGAGCTAGCCCGGTGCTGCGGCACACCCGGGAGCGCGAGGCGTCGCCGAGCCGGACTGACCGTGTGGCGGTGCTGTGGGCTTCTGCCCCCGTGAGAAGGGCCGGGGCAGCCCAGGTCGCGGGTCGTTGTAGAGAAGCGCTTTGGGTGGAAGCGGCAATAAAGCTCTGCTGATTGTGCCACTCTGCGTCGGTGTGAGTTCACCTTAAGGGCCAGTGGCAGCAAGGCCACCTGTCACTCAGGAGCACTTGCCCAGAGATAAGTGAAAAGAAGAAAAGACCCTTTTTCCCCCGTGGAAACAAACGTACGAAAGAGCATTTTCTTCTTAAGAGTTGTTAGCAAAATTGGGGTTCATATGCTATTTAGAACAACCACTTGGAGGCTTCTTTGTGAAAGACGGTTTGTGGATCGTTTAGCACATGGGAGAAGGGTGATTCCCCCTCCCCCACTTCCCTTCCCTCAAACAACCCTTTCTGTAGCATAACCAAAAGGTAGGCACTTCACTTTTTAATCAGGTCGTTTTTATCAGTCACGTGTGTACACACACACATGCACATATTCGTACGTGTGTATTCTACCAAAAGCACCTCAGGGATGCGTTTACGGTTTCGGAAGTGAAGGATGTAGTCAAAAATCACTCCACTATTGAGGGAATCCCCCACCCCTCAATTTTCCACAATGAATTAGTACTGGGATGGCAAAGAAAGTGTTATGAAAGAAATACTGTCAAATCAAATTCTCTGAATAAACCACTACCCAACTGCTAAACAGAGTAGGGGAGCCAGGATTGTACTGACTCTTGATCCACCTCCCGTGTTTCCTCCAGTGAATGTTGAGCAGGAACGGATTTTGGGGATAATGTACACTGCTCATATTGTGAGATTATGTAATGGTTGCTCTTCTGTCCACTTTTTTTTTTTTTAACAAGGTTAGGTAGGGCACTTCACTTTAGTACCCACCTTAGTCACCTCTGGTCAGACTTCTCACACATCCCACCAAATTGTTGATTGGTAGGGTTTTGGTGCATACTCTTAAGTCCCTTACATCCCTTAGAACCAGTGTGTTTCAGACCCAACATGCATGATTCTGAGTTACTTCCAGCCCAACCCTTTTGTTTCCCTCCCCATCTGACCTGGTAGTCTGTATTCTAGTGTCCAAGGTTTACTGTCTGTTGATATGGTTCATACCTTGAAATGCTTCACAATATCCCACAGATAGTGTGAGATCATTCTCTATTTGTCCTTATTTGGCTCAATATGATACCCTCCAATTTCATGTAAGTTGCAGCAGACTGCAGTGTACACGTTTTTAGAAAATATGTTAAAGTTTTATGAATACCTAGAATTTATGATCAAAAGCACTCACAGTTAAATATTCTGATGCATGTTGTCAAATGGTTTTTCAGAAAGGTGGTAAAACAGCCAGACTGTTATGACTGCTGTCCTCAGCAGTTTTTGAATTAAAATGTACATTTTGTTAATTGAATGGCTCATATTTTAATAATTGCATTTAAGTATTTGGTGGTGCACTATTTTAGAAAATCATTACACTCATGTGTTGACTCAGAAGTGATATTTAATCAAGCTAAACTCTTCTATTAATATGCCATGTTCTTTGTTATAGAAGTATTTGTTGAATGCTAATTATAGCTCAGAAGTGTTCTTTTTTAAATAATTTTTTTTTATTGAATATTTGTGAGACAGACCATTACAAAGCTGTTCATCATTGGGTTTCGGTCATACAATGATCCAATACCCATCGCTCCACCAGTGTACATTTCCCACCACCTATGTTCCCTGTTTTCCTCCCACCATTCCCCAACACTCCCCCTCGCCCCCAACCTACTTGTATGGAAGGCACTTTTCTTCGCTCTCCTTTTGTGCATTATGGTTTGCAATCCAGGTACAGGTACCAAGAGGTCACTGTGTATGTTCACGGTGTTCAGTATTTTTATTTTTTTGAGTGTTTTTTTTTTTTTGCATAACTATAATACAGTATAATGAAACAATTTGTATCATTAAGTACAGATAATCACATGAAATATGCATGAATACATATCTTTTCACATGTTAATATACATGTAATATATTTTTAATGAAATATATCTCTTTTTACTAACCATTCATTTCTTTAAAACTGCTATTTAAATCTCCATAAAGACCATATTTTGCAACATTCGTATTTTTATTGGGAATGAAAAGGTGGAGTAAATTTTTTTTAACTGGGTGACAGCTTTGGGGTGTGGATGTGACTGCTGAGGCTTTTGGAAGTACAGTGAGGTGGGGGGAGGTAGGCATCTCAACCCTGAGAAAGCCTGGAGATTTCAGTCATAAAACTTGCATATCCAAATTTTCTAAAGGTTAATGTCTCCGTGATGACTGTCCTGAGATGGTGGAGTCCGACCGGGGGCATCCTGGTGATTTTGGTTTGTGGGAGCAAGCAGGGGCTCTGGCAGGGGCTGCCAGGCTGACCCACCCCCTCCAGTTTACCCCGGTCTGTTCAGACTTGCACGGGTCCAAGATTAACTGTGGCTTTTGATCTCTTTCAAGATTTATTTATGGGTCGCTGAAACAAATCCAATAACTGAGCTTGTATAGTTGAGCTAGAGGTGGTTTGTGGGTGTACCTATTTTTGGCCATTTCAATTTCTCAGGAAACTTGGTCCTGAGTTGTTGGGGTCCAGCCAGAGGCACAGTGGCAGTTTTGGGGTATCAGAAAGCCTGAAGGCAATATCAGGCTGCTTATGCACTCACCCTGCTGGTACAGGTTGACCTGCTGATGCACTGCACCCCATAGAAGTGTTCAGATGTGTGCAGACAATTTAATATTTTTGCACTTGAGTCTAGGTACCATTCCAGGCTCTGCAGGGTCAGAGGGCAACTTGGGCTTCCTACCTGGCAAGTATGGACTCTCTGGCCCAGGATTTTTATTCAAGACCAGGAAATAGTGACAGCTGATGTTTACGAAGAAGTGATAAAAACAGGGAGCCTGCATTTAAAAACCACAGCTATTTCTCTGGTATCTGTACAAGTTAGAAACTCTTGACTTTGCAGTATGAAAATGTAATTGTTCAGTTAGGTATCAGAAAGAAAAGATACTGGAATTAAGCCTTGGATTTGAGGGAGAAAGGGCAGCTCATGAGAAATAGTTTTCCTTCTCCATCCCACTTTTATTGAGATAGAATCTGTATCACCAGTGTCTTAAGTGTGGGAGAGCATGATGGGCAGAGTTAAATGGATAGTGAAATAGTAATGAAGCATTTTATATGCAATCTGACTTTAAAATAAAATCTTGCGAAGTACACTCTACATATTACAAACTGAAGTTCAGAAATGTCAGTAATGGGTCCAAGAGATAGTACAGGGATTTAGGTGCTTACCTTGCAAGCAGCAGACCTGATGGGTTGGATCCCTGATGCCACCTATGGTCCCCCGAGCTCCTCCAGTGTCATCCTGCAATGTCCACGTCCCCTGGTGTGTTCGTTCCCCTGGCTGATGGATGGAAGAAACGGTCGCAGGCTGATAGCCAGCATTGACTATTGAAATCAAACTAGGGCTAATATTGGGAGAGAGAAACTGCTCTGTGAAGGGTGCGGGGACAGGGACAGAATGGGAAACAATGCAATAGGGGTAGAAAAGCACAAAGAAGTTCAACATACGCATGGAGAATGCCCCTTTTGGTGCTTGTCCTTCCCTGTCTCTGGAGCAGTGTCTCTGGAAGCCCTCTCACCTCAAGGGGAATCTCTAGGGGATTACTCAACAGGGTGGTACTGTCCAGATGAATCAGGAACAGTGCTAGCTAGGGATCCAACCCTCCAAAAGTGATCCCTGATTGCAAAGCCAGGAATAAGTGTGGCTCCAAAACAAATATAGTTCAATACAGTTCTGTTAACCATTTCTCATATTTTGTTTTCTTTAGGGATCACCTCATCTCTTACTATATTTATGTTCCTCAGATGAACGAGATCATCTGGTATTTTTCTGACTTGCTTCATAAACATAATACCCTCAGAGCCATCCAGGTTGCAGCAAACTGCGAGATTTCATCTTTTCTCATAGATGAAAGTATTCCTTTGTGTGTATATATCCACAATTCTTTACCCACTCATCTGTTGTTGGACACCTATTATTCCCAGGTTTTGGCTATTGTAAATAATGCTGCATTAAACATAGGTGTGCTGTGTCCTTTCAAATTAAGGTTTCTCTGTTTTTAGGGTAGATACCTAGGAGCAGAGTCACAGAGTCACGTGGAAGCTTAACTTTTTTGAGAAGTTTCCCACCATTTTTCCAAAAAGACTGATCCATACATTAGTTACACCAGCAATGAATGAAATTCCTTTTCCAGATCTCTGTCAGCACTTGCTGTTTGCAGACTTACTGATGTGAACTGATGTGATTTTACTGGTGTGAGGTGATATCTCTCACCAGTGTCTTGATTTGCACGTTCTGATAATCAGTGATGAACACTTTTTCATACATCTCTTGGCCATATTTGTCTTTGAGAAAGTGTCCATCTCTTTTTGGATGGGGAGATATATACATATCTATTTGGCTATTAGCCCTTTGATATACTGATGTTCAAGTATGCTGTCCCAGTCATCTTTTCTCCCAGTCATTTAGACCTCTTTTCTTTTGCCGTGCAAGTTTTTCATTTCACAGGATTTAACAGAGGGTCTGTCATGATCAGACCTGGTTCTTCTAGTTGTGAACCTCAACAAATTTACTCTCAATTGAATAAAATGCACAGTGTATGTGATCTTTGTGATGATTAACTTCAGGAGATAGCTCTGTTAAGTGTAATAAGAGTCCAGTGAAAGTGCCATTTAGCAACCTTGTCTGAGGAACCAGGAAAAGCTCCAGAAAGGATCATCCTGAGGCTGATTCCAAGCTTGCCTGGCAAGCAAGTCGGTGCAGGAACTATAGGCGGAATCTAGTGCTTAATCATGGAATTGTCAATAGTTACGCACAACATGATTTACTTTTGAATGGGAAGAGAGAACATAGAAACTGAAGCTAGGGCCCAAGACAGAGCAGAGAATAAGATATTTGTCTTGCAAGTTTCTGACACCAGTTCAAATTCTGCCATTAGGATGGGATAGTATAGCAGGTAGGGCACTTGTTTTGCATGCGGCTGACCTGGGGTCAATCCCTGACATCCTATATGGTCCCATGGCACCACCAGGAGCGGGGCCAGAGCCAGGAATAACCCGTGAGCATTGCTGGGTGTGCCTCCCCCCAATAAATGCTATTTATGGGGGCACATATATCGTATAGATGGTAGGGTGTATGCCTTGCACACTGCCAATCGGGTTTTATCCCAGGGATCCCATGATTTCCCCCATCCTCCCAAGCCTGCCAGGAGTAATAATAGACTCTAGTACTGTCAGGAGTAATTTCCTGAGTGCAGAGCCAGAAGCAATCCCTGAGTATTGCGGAGCGTGGGCCCAATTCCCCACCTCCAACAGTTTTAGTTTTTGGCTTTTTGGGGTACATTCGGTGATGCTCAGGGGTTTCTCCTGGCTCTGCACTCAAGAATTACTCCTGGCAGTGCTGCAGTGCTCCAGGGATTAAATGGGATGCTAGAGATCGAAGAGGGCTCAGGCACATGCAAGGCCCTAGCGCTATACTACCCCCTCGCCCCCCCCAAGTTTTTAACTTCAAGGCAATCAGGGTGTTAGAGCTTCAAGGCACCTTTGCTTGTGCCTCAGTTCTTCACTGACTACACGAGATAGCCCAATGTGCTTCTTGAAACAAATTTCCCACAGCCTCCCTTTCTTCCCCTCCTCCATGCTTCATCTAACTCTCTGCTTGTAACAACCGTTAGAAAGGAACTGGAATATAAATGCCATGAAAGAGCTCTATACAAGATAAACTCTGTCATTCAGCATTTGACAACCATAATTCAACAACCTTTGCGGTGAGTGGAAGGTGGCTTCTGAATTGTAATGTAGGTTCAGTACAATCTAGGTTAGACCTTCTGAAGGCAGCAACCTAGAGCCATGGCCTAAGTGAACACTGTGTTGCTGCACTCCAGGAATACTGGTGGTTTCCCCAAATACATTTAACACTTGTGATTATCCCAACGGGCTCTTCAAAATGCTCTCCTGATTTCTTCTAGGGGGTCCCCTGACAGTCCCAGGGGCTATTTCAGCTCGTGCCCTGCGGCCAAATGCAAAGCATGCACCCAGCCTATTGAGATCTCCCTCCAGCTCTGATTTATATGTGGGGAGCATTTGGTCTGGGGTTGGTCTGGGACTTCTGGCATGCAGAGGATGTGTCTAGTCCATTGTGCTCTCTTTCTGGCCTCTATCGGAGCTATTCTACTAAAATTTCAAGATAACAGGTTTTTGCTCATTTGGCAAGTAAGACTTTAATAATAAAAACTATACAATAATAATTTTGTTTTTATTTATTAATAAATCATGAGTTTTGAAAAAAGTTAGAAAATAGTCATTCTTCATGTTAATGAAAGTTAAACCAGTAAAGACAAAGCAAAGAATTAAGTTATGGTTCAAGATGATTAGGAGAAACAAATACAAGACTCATGGGACTTAATGGGAGCCAAAGTAAACAGTATTTCAAATTTGTTTGCATAAAAGCATATTAAAGATTATTGAAAAACAGTATCTGCGTTTTATTTTAATGAACTCATCTGCATAGACTCATCTGCAATCATGTACAAATATAACAAACTTCACTAATAGCTTTCTTAATCTTTTAATATAAATACATTTCCTTGCTTTATGAACCCAATGAAATAATATAAAGAAGTCAGTAGAAAAATATGGACCTTTCTGAATCTACACTGCGTTTTTTTAATCAAATTGGAAAATAGACTTCAGATCATATTAAACATGGATTTGAGATTTATATTATTATCTGTACCAGATTATTAGATATAATGTTTATTTTGGCTACATGCAAAAATATTATAATTTCTTATTTGACTCATTAAAAATACTTTAACTGATAGTAGACTAGTCCTAGAACAAAATGTTGGTGAAACATATTTTTAAGTCACTGCCCCATTAGTTCCCAAATATGCAAATACCCACACTAAGCCCTTTAATACATTTGCTTTAAAGATTAGTGAATGGGAATTACATCTGACAACTTTCAAACAATCTTGTAAACAATCAAAATCTGCTTTCCAACAGAAACTAAATTCAAGTAAATATTGCATATCTGACTTAAACCAGTCCTATAGTTAAAGTTGCTTATGTAACTGGATTATAAGCACTAACTGTAAAAAGATTTTATTTGCAGTGCTGAGGATCAAACCCAGGGCCTCACACATGCAAGGTAAGCACGCTAGCAAAGTTGCATCCCTGTTCCCTGTAAAAAGGTTTTAAAATAGCATCCATATATAAAGATGAAACTAAACTTTGTAAACATATTCATGTTTAATAACTACTATATTGCAGCTGCTCTTTGCCATAGTGATACTAGTCAGATGCCTTAGGTATTAAATATTCAAGTAAATTTATTTCCCTCACATATCATCATGACTGTCCAAATGTTTGAGGAACTAAAGAGAATTCTCATAAATTTTGACAGGGTTTCATCTTGCCCTTTTCACTTCAAAGAGCTGATAGCACTTAGCAATACCAAATACCAAAGAGGTAGCCTTCCCCTGATTCTCATACCATTTGTACAACTTTGCTAAAAGATCATTCACATATATGAATAAACCCAGATTCACCTTTAGAATGTGGCAAAATGTTGGTTAAAAGACAAAAAGTAACTAAAAGGCTTTAATAACAAGTTTCTGGAAAGGTATTCACTTTGCTATTATATAACAAATTATAAAATCTGAACAAGATTATATGCCATAATTGTACATAATGCCTGAATTAAAGGAAAAAATGATGTCTCCTCAGTTGTTAATCATAAGTAGGAAAGCTCACAGTGAGTAGAATACTTCTGAGATTAACCAAGCTTCGGTACTCACTGTGTCTTTGTAATAATGTGCACTGAAGTGCTTCTTAAGGCTGGTTAAGTGATACTGCTTAACTCTCACACTGAAGTTTTCTAGATTTGTGATTGTTAAGACTATAGAGGTGAAAGGTGAAGAATCCATAATCTAGTATTCCAATTCCTCTTTTCAAAGATAGCTCACTCTTTTGGTTCAAAAGGGAAAAGTTACTTACTTATGTATAAAATAAAAATTAGAATAACCAATGGAATTAGACAAATGTTACATTGCACACTTGGAATGGCTGATAAAAAATTTATGCTACATGCAAAATTCAAAGGTATTCCTAGTACAGAGGTGCTTCAAAAATATTTACTAGATGACAGAAGAGCAAGGTTCTTTATTCTAGGGACTACTCCTGGCTTAGTGTTCAGGGGTTGCTGGGGGCTGAGGGACCATGAGGTGACTGGTAGTCAAACTAAGGGCTCCTGCATGGAAAACACATGTTCAGCCCTTTCCTGAGTCATCTGTCTCCCCAGTTTAAGAAGAAGGTTACTGTGGAAAAAAAATGAGGAATCACACAGTGTAACAGGTTATCTAGACAGTTCATTTGTAACAGCTTATCCCACTGAACTGGGACGACTACATGGAAAATTATAATTATTGAAACTTATGCTGGTTAGATTTATCTCTACTATTGGAAGCAAGAGTTTTATTTTTAGGTAAACAACAAGTAACACAGTACAGAGTAACATTTCTGCCTTCTCTGTATTTTGTTTTAGAATGAATGGATGCAATAATTCCTGCTGCCTACTGCATTTCAAAGAGAAAAGGGTGAAACTTGTCTAGGCAGCAAAGAGTCCTTGGTGGTTTAGGGTGCATGCTCTGCATGCAGGAGGCCCGCCTTTGTTCCTGGCATCACATGGGCTGACTGCTGAGTACCACCCGACGTGGTCCAAAAACCAAAAGGAAAAAAAATCGATTTAACATTTTGCATTTAAGATCAAACCCATTTCTTAGGGGAGCTTACGCTTGTTCAAATGTTTTAAGTCACTGTTTAAAGTTATTACTATATAAGTTTCAAAGTAACTTTTAGTCAATACCTAAATTGATACTGGAAAGCAAACTCAACATGAGTTGACATTCTACACACCTCAGAGCTGAAAAAAATATTTTGGGAGGCAAGGGATTGAACTGAGTGCCAAATTCAAGCAAGATATGTGATCTGCCATTGCATATGTCCCAGGGCTGAAAGTACTTTTTAACAGCTCACAATAGCCTGTTTTCTCTCTACTTTTATTCTGGCCATTTCTACATAATCCTACTGTAACTGATTTCCATAGCACAGGTACCAGGACTTTCTTTGCTCATAGAAATTTACTCATAAAAGTTTAATATAGTTATTTAAAAGCAGAGAGAACCAAAAATATTTTTTATATTGGCTGTGTTTCGTCTTGGGCAACATATCAAATAATAGTGTTGAAAATGTGGACTTCAATGAATTATACAAAAGTGTCCCAAGCCTTTAATTATTATATTTATATATCTGAAACCTTCTGAGTGTTATTTTTGCCAACAATACAAAACTTTATTAAAAATGCTGACAAGTAGAAAACAGTAATTAAAAAGTAGCAATCATTCAATTAAAAAAACAAATATTTTCTTTCCATACACAGTACAAGCAACACTTAATGGCCTATTATTATTCACATTCAGACATTCTACTAGGTAACACTTCACTTCTGACAAGACTTTAGCTTGTGTTTCTGGAGTGAAAATTTGTATGAATACTAAGAAACAATTTTAATAATGCAATCCTGGTATCAAAAAATACATGTGCCATGTTAACATGTGACTTGATAACTCATAGCATTTCATAACAGGCAAGTGTTATTTCCAAAATAAAGTCACTTTTGTAGCTTCAAATCAGTGTTGCACAAATAGGCATTAAGATTAAGGCATTCTTCCTGCTCTGGAGTAGTCTCCATGGGTCCAGCAATCTGCACAAAGGCTTCCTTTTTTTTTTTAAAAATACATCTTCTATTATACTTCAGTTGTTTCACCCCACAGATTATTTTCTTGTGAATGAAACTGAAAATATCAATCCATAATGTTCTTATAAACCTATAAAAACAGAAATCATTTACTGGTTAAAATTTGATTTTCTATTTTTTTTTGATTTTCTATTTCTGAGAATAATTCATAAATTGGTTTTGGGTAACATAATTGGTAATATGCTAAGATATACTTTAGTGCTACTAAGTAATTAATAAGGATTTCTCTAAACAGTGAATAACCATACCATTAAGTTCCTTCCCTGAAGTAATTTTATTTTTATTTTTTCACTGCCGTTTTATTTGTAACCAATTATTGACTTAGACTCTTCTTGCAGTCAGGCCCACTTCCGGAAGTACGGGGAGAGGGCCAGTCTGTGCCCAGAGCTGCATGTACCACAGGGACGCACTCGGTCCCCAGCTCTGCTGTTCCGACTTGGGACCCAATCTGTGGGGCCATTCACCCACACCGAAGTGCCCAGAGCCACAGCTGTAGGGGTCTCAGCGCCCACAGCAGGCCCTATTAGTGTGCCCACCTAGAGAAGCAACGACAGTAGGTCCCGGAACCTGAAGGAGACCTCTTCCTTCCCAACACTGCTGGGCCCGAGCATGGCCCCTCATCACGCACGTCTCCCACGGCTGTCTTCGGGTTCTGCTCTGACAAAGGCCTGGATTCTGATTCTACGTCTCACTGTGGGTTCCAAGTGCTTTTTTGGGGGGAACACACTTGGTAGTTCTCAGGGCTTACTCCTGGCTATGTGTTCAGAAGGGCTGGAGCGATAGCACAGCGGTAGGGCGTTTGCCTTGCAAGCGGTCCTCCGCCCCTCTCGGAGAGCCCGGCAAGCTACCGAGAGTATCTTGCCCGCACAGCAGAGCCTGGCAAGCTCCCCATGATGTATTCGATATGCCAAACACAGTAACAACAAAAGTCTCCAATGGAGACGTTACTGGGCCCGCTCGAGCAAATCAGGAGGACAGGGATACAGTGATACAGTGATGTGCTCAGAAACTGAATGCTGGGATGGGGCGGCAGGAGGGGCTGGGGACCCTCAAACATTGGTAGAGAGATGCGGACTCTCAGATAGGGAGTCTGGTACTAGAAAGGCACCTGTGTGAAGAGTAGGAGAACTAGTATCATAAACCCCAGCACCTCAAATTTTCTTTAAAGAAACTGAAAGCTAATGACAAACACAGAGCAAAGAGGTAGATGCTCCCAATAACTCACTTGGGACTCCAGATAAAAACTTGCCAGAAAAAAAAATTAACTTTCTGAGAGAAACTGAGATGTGTGCTGTTTTATTTATTTGGCTGGTTTCGTTTTAGGACCTAGTGTTGCTTAGGGCTTATTTCTGGCTCTGTGCCACTGATCACTCCTGCCAGGGCTCTGGGGACAATATGTGGTGAGGGGGATGATACCCAGGGTGCCATGTGCAGGGTAAGCACCCAACTCATTGTACTCCCTCTGGTACCCTACGTGTGTTGTTTGAGATTGCAGTTTGTGGTAATGTATCACACAGGCAACCAAAAAATCTAAGATGTTTTTGAATCACAAACTTGGGTCCTGGCTTAAACACTGACTGATGATTTGTTTTTTTGGGGCCCACTCAGTGGTTTCAGATTCAACAGCTGGTGCTGTGCTCAGAGGTCACTCTAGACACTGCCTAGGGATCAAACCCAGGCCTCCTGCATGCAGAACATTTATGTGACTCCTCTGGGCTTTCTCCCAGTCCTGACTTGCAGTTAAGCCTCAGGAGGGAGAAGTTCACTGTAACCCTCCAGGTCAGTTCAGAAGTGAAACAATGCTTTCAGTTTATTCTACAGTTTATGAGATTCCTTTGACCGTGAGTGTGGAAAGGTAGGACTACAGCTGAATCTTACGAAGACAATGTTTATGAGAAACTGCCTTGTTCCTGACACCCCATTCGCTCTCAATGGAACGACCATCTCCGAATGCAACAGCTATGTGTACCTAGGTCGAGAGGTCAACATGACAAATGACCTGGCACCCGAGCTGCGCAGGAGGAAGAGAGCGGCTTGGAACGCCTTCAAGAATGTCGAAGAAATAGCTAAGAGGACGAAGAACCTCCGGCTCCGGGCACATCTCTTTGATTCCACTGTTCTTCCTGCATTAACATATGCCTCAGAGACCTGGGCCCTATGCAAACAAGATGAGAACGCCATTCAGGTCTCCCAAAGAAGAATAGAAAGAGCTATGCTTGGAATATCACGTTTCACTCAAATGAGAGAACGAATCCGGAGTTCTGACATCCGTCGACGATCAAGGATCAGGGACGCTGTCTCATATGCCAAGGTGTCGAAAATCAGATGGGCTGGTCACGTAATGAGATTTAAAGACGACCGTTGGACTAGAGCTGTTACTGATTGGATTCCACGGGATGTCAAGAGACCGCGTGGCTGCCCACCTACCAGATGGTCAGACTTCTTTGTCAAGATCATGAACGATCGGTTTGAGGCCTCCATGTTCCCGGAGCGAAGAGATGCCATTGGGCTACACTAGCACGCGACAGGGACAAATGGAGACGTTACTGGCGCCTGCTCGAGCAAATCGACGACTAACGGGAAGTTAAGTGATTAAGTGAAGTGATTATGAGATTCCTGGAATGTTTTGCTATTTCATTTTTTCTGGCATTGTTTCTTGGTACACAGATAAAGAATAATGGATAAATGTAATTGGCAAACTAGCAATTTTTTTTGGGGGGGGGCTGTATCTCTTACAAACTAAAATCAGTGAGCCTCTTAAAGTCTTTTATGTAGCTTTTAATTTGTCACTCTTCTCTGAATCAAGTTTATTCTTTTTTGCTTTTTGGGTAAGACTGGTGGTGCTCAGGGTTTATTCCTGGTTCTGTGCTTAGAACTCCTGCTGGGGTTTGGGAAATCAAGTTTCTTCAATAGTGGGTGAAGAGTTACCTTCTCTTCTTCTTCTTCTTCTTCTTCTTTTTTTTTAAAGGCTAACATTTTTTACTGAATCACAGTGAGATAAACAGTTACAAGCTCTTCCACCATTGGGGTTCAGCTATATAACAAACAATACCCATCCGTCCTCTACCAGTGTACTTTTCCCACACAAATATGGGAAATGTCCCCAAAATGTCCCCAAATTTCCCAATCGCCCTGTACCCCACCCCACCCCACCTGCCTCTAATCTTAATCTTATTTTTAGTTTCTTCACCTATTAACTATTCATTAAGATTATGCTATCAGTGGTAAGAAATATGGATATTATGCAAATTTTTTTCGTATTTCCTAAATTATCTAATTTTGCTGATAAAATTACAGTTGTTTTAAAATGATGAAATATGCAAATAAACTGTGTTTAAGAAAATTACCTTTACACTGTCTTACCTTGCTCTTATTCAAATGGTTAGTTATGAACAAGTGGTACTCAATTTTCTATTGCCACTGTAACATGGTTATTTGTCCCTGTAAGCACATAATTATATATGACATGACAAACAAAAAGAAGTATTAAGTTTCTGACTAAATGATAAAATAATTACAGCTTAAAAAAACCTCTTATGTAAGCAAAATGTATGTTACTAGTGCCAACTATTAGTCTTTAAAACCCAGAAGTAAAAAAAAAATCGCCAACACTGAACTACCATATTATAAGGTATTTTATTTAAAAGCTTGATTTCTTTTTTAATAGTTTACAAATCCTAATTCTATTTTTCTATGTCTATCAAATCTGGTGATTTTCATTTTAACATGATGAAGTAAAGTTTTCAGATGACAAGAACTACCTGGTCTGACAACAGAGTCTTCAGATCCATTCTCCATCCACTGAGATTCACTGTCCAACAACCGATTTTTTGATTCACTAAGTGGTTTGATAGGAAAGGGTTGATTTGAGCCAATACTGAAAAGAGGAGCAAATGATTTAGTAAATCATCTAATGTATAAAGAAGTAAAGTAATAAGCAGCAAATTAGTATTCCTTCTCCTAATGAGGGTACTCATGAGATCTCAGCACGCTGACAAAATTATCTTCAAAGGAAAAGGATGACCCCAACACCCCCCATTAAAAATTAAAAATTCTCTAGACCCCCTCAACACTGCTAACGAAAACAATTAGATCAAAGAAAAAAGCTTCTGAGGCCAATCTGAAACATGTCTAACATATGTTAATCAAGAGCCATATGGTAGCACAAGGACAGGTGAGGATCTATGTCTGTGGCCAGGACAAAAAAATTACCTGTCATTTCCCAAGTTTTCTGCTTTTTACCACTGCAGTTTAGATCTAAGGGGAAAAAATGATTTAGTGATTTAGCGTAGGCTTATTTTTCTAGCTAAGAGATCCAGGGAGGGAGGGAACAAAGGAAGAAAAGGAGGATAAGGGAACTAATATTCATAGTGTTGATCATGGGCCAGTCCCATTAGATGCTTTCTGCATATCATCTCAAGCTTCACAATAACCCTGAAGATAGTTTTGACTAATCTTATTTTTTGAGCTGGAACTGAGGCTGACAGTCTAAGTGACTTGCAACAGATTCTCAAAATGCTAAGTATTCTCAGCACCTAAGAGCTTATGTTTTAGATTCCTAGACCCATATTCTTCTGATATTAACATACCCATTATTGGAATTTTAATCTTTCATCTACTATGTCTGTAGTAAGTTTCAGCTATTTTACTTTGACACAGGTGTCTCTTCTTCAAAATCTTATTTAAAATGAACTATTTCTCTGAATTTATCTGTGCCTGTCATGCAAATTCTGAGAAAAATCCTCTAAGATGCATGAGCAAACTGTCTATTTTTGAATCCTCATTCTCACACTGTTGTTAAAATCTGTTTATGAAAATAAAATGTGACTATATTTATGATTAAGTTTTAAGGAAAAATGTAACAAATAATAAACCACAATAATAGCATCTGAAAGAGTAATTTCTAGGAAGATCCAATATATTTTGATGCCGTGCTTCTGAGTTTGGTACTTGCAGCTAAACGTGACTGTCTGAGTTCAACTATTAGTAGTAAGCACTCTTTCTCTTACTCTGAATGTGTTCTGGATTTGATTAAAAAAAAAAAGTAATCCTAAGTATTCTGTGTACAAATAGTAATCTATTTGTTAAAAACATTGATACAGACTTTCTTTTTCCCTATTGATGCTGATTTACTATATTGATACTGCACAAAATTTCCATACGTTTATATGTGCATAACATCCATACAGATATAGTTTGCTTTATTATGCTACTGGAAAACTTAACGAGAAGCGCACCTTCTGGCAAATTCATTCTGGTGTGTAGCTTGTTCCGGATCCATCCCCACAAGACGAGTTGGAAAACTGCAACCATCACCCAAACTGCATAACAAAAAATATTTGCAATAATTTCGTCACATCAAATTAAATCAAAGTGGTCAAATTTAACCAATTTTCATAGGTATGACATAAAGAATTCACCATAAATGATCATTTCAGAAAATAATTCCTAATACTTATAATTTGAGAGGTTATTAACCTGCATTGAAGAAATAGCCTTTTAAAAATATAATTGTAAAGAGCATTAAAAAGCAGAGGCTGGCGAATCGCTGGCAGTTGTACCCACACCGCACTACTGCAGTCACGCCAAGGACTCAACTCCACCACATCACTAATATTCTCTGCAGAGACACCAAATTGTGAATAATTTCAGGTACTTGGTGCTCAGGCTGAGAACTCTGGTGCTTTTTGGAGTTGGGATGGGCAACTTACCCTTGCCCCCCAAAACAAAACAAAACAAAACAATGTTTTCATGAGTGACAGTACAGCGGATTGGGCTTGTACTGCATATGGCTGACTTGAGATCGAGCACTGGCACCCCAGATGTCCCTGATTACCACCAGGAGGGATCCCTGAGTGAGAGCCAGGAGTAAACCCTGAGCACCTTAGGGTTGGCCCCCAAATCAAAACAATAAAAATAAATTGTTTGAAAGTTTGTTCTTGTCTATCTCACAGTGATTCAACAAAAAAAGTTTTTTTTAAAAAAGTTTTCTAGCCAGAGTGGAATAACCTATAATACAACAAAGTATATCGAAGACATGGACAGATGGACAGGCTGAAAACAGCCATGAGACCTATCCAAATGAAACAAAAAAGACAAAACCCCTGACTGGAGTCACTGCATAGACAACAGAAGATATATCGGAAAAAATACTGGTGAAAATAATTTCTAAATCTGATGGAGCTTCTACCAAGAAGCTCAATCAGTCCTAAGAACAAGATTTCTTGCCTTCCTGCCTTCCTGCTTTATTTCTCCTCCCTTATCCCCTCCCGCCCCTTCCTTCCTTCTCTTTTTCTTTCTTGGGAGCACTACATTGGTAGTGTTCAAGTCCCACTGGTACTGAACCCTTATTACTATATAAAAAAACAAACTCCTAAATCAAGGCACATCATATCAAACTGTTAAAATATTGATATATTGAAAAATTTAAGACAAATGACATTTTATGTAGAATGAAAATGGTAAAATTGACCAAACTTGCGACAAGAATGTCAGATGATACTAAAGTAATAACTAAAATTCAATACAAAGAAAAATTATCTTTCAAAAATAAAGACAAAATAAGTCTGTTTCAGACAAAAAAAAATCCAAAATCTTACAATTATGTCATTTCAATTTTATGTTTCTTTTTTTTTCTGGAGTGAGGTCACACCCAGTGATGCTCGTTACTCCTGGCTCTGCACTCAGGAATCTCTCCTGGCAGGGTTTGGAGGACCATATAGGATGCTGGGGATGGAATCTGGTTTGACCATGTGCAAGACAAGTGCCCTACCCACTGTACTATTTCTCCAACCTTGATTTTTTTTATTTGATTTGGGGGCTACACCCAGCGATGCTCAGGGGGTTTACTTCCGGTTCTGGGCACAGGAATTACTCTTGGCATTGCTTGGAAGACCTTACAGGGAGCAAGGACTCGAATTTGGGTCAGCCTGTGCAAGGCAAGTGCACTCCTCGCTGTACTGTCTATCTGGCCCTCCATATTTTCTTTTCTGCAATGACTTTTGTGTACAGCTAACCAAGTACTGCTGGTAATCTGGCAGAAAAAGAAACTATGAATCATCCTAAGCATATACTCTCACTCAGACTTGAGTTAAAAATTGCATTACTTTGGGGAGATAGGTCAATGGGCTAGAACTCATACTTTGTATGTGGGATTCCCAGGTTTAATGCCTTCCACTGCATGATCCCTGAGCACAGCCAAGGGTGTGGCACAAAAAGAATCAAATATTTCATAACATACCACAGAATACATAATCTTTGTATATTTGAATAATTGACTATACGGCTTGGGCTACACTAGCATGCGACAGGGATGAATGGAGACATTTCTGGCGCCCATTCGAGCAAATTGATGAGTAACTGGATGTCAAGTGATTAAGTGATTATATGACTAATAATTAGAAATTCTTGGGATTTTCTATTTCAAAAGTTTATTTTCATTTTTTATTTTTATTTTTATTTTTGATTTTTGGGTCACAACCAGTAATGCTCAGAAGTTACTCCTGGCTCTACACCAAGGAATCACTCCTGGAGGTGCTTGGGGAACCAGATGGGGCACCGGGGATCGAACCCAGGTTGGCCACTTGCAAGACAAACGCCCTACCTGCTGTGCTATTGCCCCAGCCCTCAAAAGCTTATTTTCATTTTGAAGAAAAAAATTCCTTTTTTTAGAAAAAATGTCACTTAAATTAAAAAAAGTCACTTCCTGGTTATGATGTGAAATGTGAAATGCCCAAACTTTACCTCCTCTAATAATAATAAAAAAACACTAAGATACTCTGAATTTTAATTTTTCAATGCCCAGAAAATGTAATATAATATATTCTCTGAATCTTAATACATTTAGCTAGAGTCAAGGATTATCACAAATTTCATAATTTCGCAGGCCTTCATTTTATAAATTACCTGGAATATACTGGAAGCAACCAATATTTCTTTTCATCGCCAAAGACTTGTCTCCAGTTTTTACTGTGTCCAAGGGAAAAACCATTTCCATCAGGTCCATACGAAAATGTAGGTGCACGAAATGATTCTGTATTGTATACATAAACAAAATCAATATACTTTCAAATTACAGGAGGAATGGTAAAAAAAGTCTTGTTTTAGATTTTTTCTATCAAGTGTGGTAAATATAATTTATAGCAAATAATATTTTCAACAAAAGCTACATTTCTAGGGCTAGGGGATGCAGCTTAAGTGGCAAGGCACATACTGACCATGTGTGAAGCCAGGGTCAGGCCCAGCACTGCACAGTGGCCTTCTCCCATCCTGTCCCCACCCTGCCCACAGCCCTTGTGGTTCCCTCGCACTGCCAAAGGGGAGGTGGGCAGGGGGGCTCCACAACAAATTAAGACTTTTTTCTGAAAAACCGCTAAGTTTCTGAAATTCAGGAAAAACTACTCATGGAATATTTCAGTCTTATAAATAAAAAGAAAGAGTCAAAATGACTAATATCAAAACAACAACTGGGGTGTTTTCTTTTCAAAGGTGTTCTTTTCTTTTCTAATCACTGTGAGATACACAGTTACAAAGTTCTTCATGACTGGGTTTCAGTAATACAATGTTCCACCACCGCCCCTTCACCAGTGCACATTTCCTACCACCAATGTCTGTAGTTTCCCTCCCCTACTCCCTCTTTGGCAGGCCTCCCTCCCTCTACCTCTCCCTCTCCCTCTCCACCACCCTCCTCCTCCCTCTCTCCCTCCCTCTCCCTCCCCTCTTACTCCCCTCCTCTCTCCTCCCTTCCTTCCTTTTGGGCTTTATGGTTTGCAATACATATACTGAAAGATTCTTTACCTACTTTCAACACTCAGTTCCTGTCCAAAATGATCATTTCTATCTATTATTAGCATACTGGTTTCTTCTCTATCCTACATGCCCTTTGCTCCCCAGACACCTCTGTGGCATGCATATATATATACATACACACACATATTGTTTCCTCTGACACATATTAGTCTCATACTATATACATATATATTCCATAAATGCAGTCATTCTATATCTGTCCCTCTCCTTCTGACTTATTTCACTCAGCATGATACTCTCTCACGTCCATCCATTTATAAGCAAATTTCATAACTTCATTTTTCCTAATGGCTGTATAGTATTCCACTGTGTAGATGTATCACAGTTTATTTATCCAGTCATCTGTACTTGGGTACTCAGGTTGTTTCCAGATTCTGGTAAAGGTTCTCCAACTCTGGCAGCTTCCCTCATTTCATATTCATTTACCTCCTACTCAGTGTCTGAGGCACAGTGCCTGGTACTTGGGATCTTGAGACAGATTAAGTGAAATTCCCATCAGAGAACCCAGAATCTAAAGGCGTCTAACAAATTCACAATGTGACAGATGCACGTGTGCTCTGGGGATGAGGCAGGGCACGGTGAAAGATGAAGGGCGTGAAGTGTGAGCCTGACCTTGTGCAATGAGTAAGGATGAGGAAACTAATGTGAGCAGAGGACACATTGTTTTAATTTGGTTGCTAAATGGTATACAATGAAGATTCACAAAGGTATGTTTCCCAATAAAACCTTTTAAAAAACATTATTTAAAACAACACACATTGAGACTCAGCAATGAATCCGGGGAGATAACAGCTCACAGGAGATTTCTCTGAACCCCGTGCCAAGCCGACTTATGGGGCAGCTCAGATGGAGGTGTCCCCTCTCCGCCTACGCCAAATGAACCTCCATGGCCACAAACTTCCAGAAGAAAAAAAACCCAGGGATGGAAGACTCCAGACACCAGGCCACATGGCGGGGATGGGGTGGGGTAGGGGTGGAATCTCTTCCCATCTCCCCGCCCCTTTGGGGTCCTGGCTGTGGTGCCCACAAACTGCCTCCAGGCCCCTTTATGTGGGTCAATGGCCTTGATCCAGACTCCCAAATGACACTCAGAATGGATTAACTCTCTACAGAGAAGTCTCTGGACCCCAACCATTTACAATTTTAGAACTCCAGAAGTGTGCAGCTGCGAGACCTCTCATGGTATTTATAATAAGCAACAGAAAATAAATTATCTAGCATCTGCCTGTGGCAGGCAGGCTTGATTGGTGGTGGGAAAATTCGAAATAATGGTGGTGGGAAGGTGTAATAGTGGTGGGATTGGTGTTGAAATACTGAACGTAATCAATTAATGTGAACGACCTTATGAAAGTAAAATTTAAAAATTAAAAAAAAAAAAAGTTAACCGAGCAAGTGAATTGAGTATAGGCCTTAAAGGGTAGGAAAAGATATTTGGTTGCCATACAAAAAGACAAAGAAAGCCACTTCATTTTCTTTAACAGAAGAGTTAATATTTCTACAATAAGAAAATACATGTTTGCTATCATACGGAGATTCTTAAACTCTTTCCAAGTTGAGTCAATACTGCTACCAATACTCTGCTGCTTACCACCTCCAGAGCAACATGTCGGAGTATGAATGATACACCATTAATTAACAATATTATTCTTTTCAGCGGGCTGGAGCGATAGCACAGCAGGTAGGGCGTTCGCCTTACAAGCGGCCAACATGGCCGACCCGAGTTCGATTCCTCTGCTCCTCTCGGAGAGCCCGGCAAGCTGCCGAGAGTATTCGATATGCCAAACACAGTAACAACAAAGTCTCCAATGGAGACGTTACTGGGCCCGCTCGAGCAAATCGACGATCAACGGGAGGGCCTTTACCTTTTACCTTATTCTTTTCAGTGATTTATAAAAGACAAAGGGATCCTTATCGCTTAACTAGAAATATGTGTAAGTATGGATATCTTTAGTTTTCTGAGTTGATTCTGCTACTAGTGTAATTCTTTTTTTTTTGGGGGGGGGTTGAGTCATACCCGGCCACAGGGGCTACTCCTGGCTCATGCACTCAGGAATTACTCCTGGCAGTGCTTGGGGGACCATATGGGATGCTGGGAATCGAACCCGGGCCAGCTGAGTGTAAGGCAAATGCCCTAACCGCTGTGCTATCACTCCAGCCCCAACTAGTGTCATTCTTAAACATCATGTGAGTATTCTTTTAAGTTTGTAAATGATCACCTAATTCCATTCAGATACATTATAAATGTCTTAGGACACAATTCTTATTTTACCACTCATGCTCAGAGAACATAATTATTTATTTGCCTTACTTGTTATAATTTGTGAATCCTGGAAGTGCTAAGAAGTAAATTTGTTTCAGATGACATAATAAGAGTTTACTCAACTTTCCTGAAATATTTATAGAACATGCTTAACACTACTGGGAACTTTCACTACTAAAAGATACTCACTGAGGTAGTAGCAATGAGTTGGGAGGTAGGATCAAGGGAGGGGATGAGAGGAACAGGTGTTAAGGCTCTTGGGGGACAGAGATGGGTATGCTTGGTGAAGTGTTGGAAATTTATGAATGGTCTCCTGAGCACCACCAGGGGTGATTTCTGAGTGCAGAACCAGGAGTAACCTCTGTGCATCGCCAGGTGTGACCCAGAAAGCAAAAAAAACCCGAAATCATGTGTGCTATTATTATTTTTTAAAAATTTATTAAATCACCATTAGGGCTGGAGCAATAGCACAGTGGGTAGGGTGTTTGCCTTGCACGCAGCCAACATGGCTGACCTGAGTTCGATTCCTCCGCCCCTCTCCGGCAAGCTACCGAGAGGATCTCGCCTGCATGGCAAAGCCTGGCAAGCTCCGTGTTGTATTCCATATGCCAAACACAGTAACAAGTCTCACGATGGAGACGTTACTGGGCCCGCTCGAGCAAATCGATGAACAACGGGAGGACCGTGACTAGACCGTGACTAGAGAAGCCATTACTAATAGTATTGTAAACAAAAATCTCAATTAAATATAAAATTTAAAAAAATTTCTATTTGTCTTTTTTTTGCTATAATCACAACAAAAATTTAATGTTAAAAAAAACCCAAAAACTCCACGCATAATTGTGTTTTATAAAAAAAATAAAGATTGATAAGATAGAAAAAAGAAGCCATATACAATGAAGTATATTAGAGTAGGAAAAAGGCAGAGCCGAAATGATGAGATAGTGGTCACATGAGAACAACCCACTGAAAATTTTGGAGGTTCTTTCTATCCAAATGACTATGTTTGCTTGTAGAAATTATCTCCCAAATGAAAGTTACTAGCTTGCCTTGTTTGGGATGATGGCGTTCACTTGAACAGAGAAACTGAAGATGGGCAGCTGTGGCACCCTACAGGAGACAGTCAAGTATCTATGAAGGCCAGAACAAACACTGGGGAAGAGCAGTGGAAAGCTGGCCTCTATAAGAGTGTGGAACGCGGTGTGTAAAGGCAGTGGTGTGTCAGGGTAGGTAACACAGATAAAAACACCTGAATACAGGCACAGCAGGAAGGCACTTGTCTTGAATGTGGCAAATCTGGGTTCAATTATGGTCCCCTGATCCCTAAGCACAGAGCCAGGCAGTTTGCCCTAAGCACTGTTGGGTGTGCCCCCAAACAAACAAGAAGACAAACAAAAACCAGCTGAATGGGCTGTGATCTCGGTTGCTGGTTTCCACCACACTGTTTTCAGTGGCTCAGGGAACCACCAGGGCTCTGCCCAGCTGTGTTGGGAGAGGGCAGGGGATAGATAGTCTTGGAGGCCTGTGACCTCATCACTTGAGCATTCAGAATTTCTTTTTGAAAAACTAGAACAGAAAATACTGGAGTTACTGCATGTGGTGGAGGTAAAGGGCCATCTGGTGGCATTCTTGACAAATGTGTGCTTAATTAGGTCAGGAATAAAACAATGCATTTCTTACTGTAGTTGCTGCCAAGACAGTCTGAATAAGAGGGTTTAAAGGGAACACTGGGTTTCTAATGCTCTCTTCTCTCCAGCATTCACAGGGCTGGGGTGGGACAGAAGTGAGGCAGTTTGATAGGAACTGTGGCAATCTCAAGTGTTTCTGACCCACCCACCAAAGTCCTACCTGGCTTCATCAGAATGGTGCCAATTCCCCTAGTGGAATCTGCTAGCTGAAGCACGAGGGGAAGTGGTCTGAGTGCTAGACTTTGCATGTAGGTACTTCCTGTCATCTCTAATCAAAGGTAGGGAGATGGCAGGATATTCTGTGCGAAGCAAGTCAAATTAATAAATATATGATAAACCAGAATGAGGGCATGATGAAATCAGAGGCGACTAGACAGTGGAGTAGGAAACAGGGCATAGAAACATCTTTGCCCTGGAAGACATTCCATTTCCCCTAACTCCTAAGACACGAGATGAAGTTAATCAAACAGAAAAGAATCTAAGTTTCCCTAAAATATCTTCATAGTGATATTAAAATCTATTCTCCTGCTACATACATAGCTGGATCGTGGCACCTACAGTCTCTTTCTTAGGAAACATTTGGACACTGCGCTAGCTGTTGCTGTATTTCATTTAGAGCACAGTGGTGCTGCTTAGAGTGAGGAGATTTACTCCATGTCTCTTTAGGAAACATTGATTCAATTCTTTTCATGCCATTCTAAATTCCTCCCTTATATTTTATAAAGAGCATAAAAGGAAAATTGCTGCTATTAGTGCTACAACACGGTCAACTGAAACAAAAATAGAAATGATTAGCTTTATTAAAAGATGTGATTTGCAAGCTGCAGGGTACCTACAGAGATCACTGAAATCAACAAGGAAAAAGTAAACATATTTTACTTTATTAACATGTTTTAGCTAAAAGCTATGATGACATTTTTATTTTGAAATCTATGAATCAACTTGCTCATAATATGTAGATCTATCACAAATTGACTTTTCAAAAGATATCATATAAACACAGAAATTTTATTAAAATATAGAGAATTCAGTCAGTCAGTGCTTGATACAGTATGCACTAATACGAACAAAGGCAATGTAAGTTCCTCAACTGGCTTCACAATGAGCCTTGTGGTGAGATAGCACAACAGATAGAGTGCATGTGCACAGACAGAGTGCAACAGATAGAGTGCACGTGGCCTGGCTCCCAGAACTGCTTTATGGTACCCTGAACCCCACTAGGAGTGAACCCTAAGTACAAAGCCAGCAGTGAACCTTGAGCACTGCTGGGTATTGCCCCCAAACCAAAATAATAAGCCTCAATATTCACTGTATCTATCACAGCTAACAGAGACTGCAATTATTTATCATCTGACAACAGTCTTGGAGACGTAATATTCATTTGTAGTCATTTCCCTAGATAATGCCTCTGACTTTGTCTTGCTTACCTATTGTTGTTCTATTTTTTCCGACCAGCCAGCAGTGGTAACTGAAAAGTGACAGGACACTGATGAAGAACATTGTAGACACAAAGAAAAGAAAAAGGATGTGGAACTTGGCACGTGTAAGTTCATTCTGAGAAGAGCAAAAAGCAAAGTTAATTTTATGAACAATCAACCTTTCACATATATATTCTTATTGCTAGTTCTTTCTAAAGATGGTTGAATCTACTAAAATATTCGCCTGCTACAAAGAGGAAAATAGTGAAAATATTCAAAAGGAACCATTTCAAAACAGAGAGCTATCAAAGTAGTTTGCTTATATTTAGGGTTAGAAATTCACTTTAAAAATGACAATGAGGGAGCCAGAGGACTAGTGCAAGCAAGTAAGCAGCTTGCCTTGCATGCAGCTGACTCTGGCTAGACCTCTGGTTCCACAGGTGGTTCCCTGAGGCCCTCAGGAGTCAGACCTAAGCACAGGGTCAAGAGCAAGCTGAGTATCACCCAAAACAAAAAAAGGGGGGCCCACCTCCCCCCAATACAATGAAACATAAAAAATTTAATGATACAATAAAAAGATGGATATTTAATGTTTCTTGTTTTTTTATGTTATGTACATATTCATCTATCCCCAATATTGGGGATGATTTAAGCTTCCTCCATCTATGCTAAAACACTGACTTATATGGGCTACTACAAACTAATTGGGAGGAGTTTATTTTTGCATTTCTGTAGGTCTCTGGTTTCTAAACACTACATATGCCCACATTCTCAGCTGCTTCAAGTCCTACCTTCCTTACCACTGATCCTTTCCTACAGAGACCCTGAAGCAGAACTAGCAATTTTGGTAAGTCAATTTACCACAAGGTTTAGTGAATGACACAGTTTCTGCCTGTTCTTTTATTTTTCTTTTGTGGGTGAGGCCTCCCGATAAGCGCTCAGGGGTCTCAGAGTGCTCCCATGGACTCTCTCCATGATGCTGCTCTGGTCCTGCAGGGCCAGTGGTTACATCCAAGGCCATGTGTGGCAGTGCTCAGGGGCCTCCAGGGCTGGACCCCTCAGGGAGTGTTCCGGGGAGCAACTGGTGCTGGGGATGGAACTGGGATCATGGAACACACAAGGTAACCTGACCTCTGTACCATCTCTCCAGCCACCCATTCCCCATTCTTAAGGCTATGTTCATTTTAAAGGAATCAAAAGTCTTATCACTCTGTTTGCTTGTTTTGTAGCTATACCCCCGCAGTGCTCAGTGCTTGCTCCTACCTCTGTGCTCACTTCTGATGGGGCTCAGAGGACCATATGGGGTGCCAAGGATTGAAAATCCCAGTTGGATGTCTGCATACAAGGCAAGCACCCTACCCTTCAGCCCTAAATCAATAGCCCTCAATCAAATTCAGCCCTGAATATTTTTCCTAGCTTTAAACTAGAAAATTTTAGGGAAAAAATTGTGCCTTTGGGTCAGAGCAACAGTACAGAGGGGAGAGTGCCAGCCTTGCACACAGCCAAGCCAGGTTCAATCCCCAGCACCCCATATGGTCCCCAAAGCACCGCCAGGAGTAATTCCTGAGTGCAGAGCCAGAAGATCTTGAGCACAGCTGGGTGTGACTTCAAAACCAAAACCAACCAACCAAAAACTGTACAATGTCCCTTAGTCAAGAAGGAAGCCTAAAATAAAACCATACAAGACTAATCACTGACTTAAAAGGGATCTATCTTGCTCAAAGATTATGCTAATATTTATCTTTTGTTCCTCTTTCCTAGAGTAACCAAATTCCTTTTAAGCCTTTAAACATATGGAGTGATTCTATCTTCCCAAAGAAAAAGCAAAGGAGTGCTATACACATTCACCATAAATGCTACAAAGAGCCATGACAAGAATGTCATGTTAGTAATAGATTTTACCTTGGGACAACTCTCTGGAGATTTCCTGCGGCAAAGCTTGTACAAATAGAGACAATGTATTAAGAAAACAACTTTGATACAAATTACCCTGAACATTTTTACAGATCTTTCCTGCTCTGATGGAACCTAAAGACCAGAGCTCTTGGAAGGTTATAAACATTTTCTCAAAATATAAAAAAAGAGAAAACAGGTAAGAACATTTAGCTCCTAGAGTGGATTTCAGGTCCACCTTTAATAAACACTTTTCTACCCAATTTTTTATAGTTCTAAGGGAAAAATAAAGCATAAAATTTTAGCAAACACCTTGAAAAACATTTCTAGTGACCAGTTTCTAAAATGAGATTTGGCATTTCTTAGGTCCTTCACTGCTATTGCAACAACTCTGGCACTTCCCTCTTCCTGTGACTTCCTGTCATTGTGCAATGAAACGTTCTGAGCAGCTCATCCTTATGGATTCACACTGCATGGACATGGAGGGATTAACACCAGCCCAGATGGTAGAGTTCACAACACACGAGGCTGAAGGAGTATCAGCCATGAAGACCACCATCATGTGTGAGGCTCATCACTGACCAAAATGCCAGTAATTGAGACGCAACTGGTTTCAGATTGTCAATCACTGTGGTCCTCTGCACTGAGATCATATTACTTCTATGGTCCCTGCTGAACTCTGGGTAAAAGTCACAGTCCTTACAACACCCTCCAAGCAGTCACTCCTCCCACAGCAGTGACACAAATATGGCAGGAATGCTCCCGTTGTCGGGAATTTGCTTTAAAGCTAAGATGTTTTCTGTCTGAAACACTCTTTCAAACATCCATTCATTTCCTTCAAGCCTGCTCAAACATTATCTTCTTCCTGAATTCTACCTTGAACACTTTTAAAGAAAACTGAAACATAATCTACATAGACAGTGTTGTACTAGCTTCAGGTGTACAATAAATCCAGGTGACATCCACTGTCACCGTTACTCTTTTCTTGTGACAAGTCCTTGAAAATCTGTTCCAGACACCTTCAAACCTATTTGCTCCGGTCACTGTGCTGTCTGTCACACCTTGGCACTTTCTCTGGCCACCTTTATTTACTTTTTCCAGGTCCTACCCACTTCTCAGACCACCCAGCAGTACTCTGTATCTAACTCCATAGTGAGATCATGTGCTATTCATCTGTCAGATTTCATTTAAGTGAAATGGATGACTTCAAGGCTCATCAAATTTGTGGTGAATGGCATTTGCTTCTTTACAGTGGCTGAATAACATTCCATTACAAAATATATCTGCATATCTGACCAGGCGTATATGCATACCACATTTCCCATATCCCACTGATGGACACAGGCTATTTCAGACCATAACTAATGAGAATAATGCTACAATGAACATGGATGTGGCAGGTATCTTTTATACCCAGAAGTAAAATGGTTGAATCATATGGAAGCTCTGCTTTGATTTTAATTTTTAATATTTTAATGTAATGAAAACAATTCCCTTCCCCCTACATTCTTCTCTGGCTAGGACTGCTAATAATGGTGCAGATGAGTCTCTCTGCCTGATTCCAGTGAATGTGTTAGCTCAGTGTTGCTATATGGATTTTACTATGTTGAAATTCAGGCTCTCCATACCCATTTTTACTGACCTTTCCATATACAGATGTGGAATCTTAATAGACGTTTTTTCTATCTATAGAGATATTGAGATATCCATATTTGGGGGGGGGGGTGATAGAGTAGGTGAAGTCACACCCAGCAGTGCTCAGGGCTTGGATCCTGTGTTTTAGAGATTATCTTGGTGGGCTCAGGACTGAACTGGGTACTGGAGATTGCAAGCTCCCTAACCACTCGCAAAAACTTACATTTTAAACACCATCACTGGATTTTTATAGAGCAAGTATGAAACTTTTTTAAAAATTTTTTTTCTGGGGGACCACCCCTGGCAGTGACCAGGGCTTATTCCTGCTTTGCACTCAGGAATAACTCCTGATAGGATTGGGGGACCATCTGAGATTCTGGGAACTGAACACAGTATGACCACATGCAAGGCACATGCCTAGCCCCTGTGCTATCAGTCTGGCTCCTGAAACTACTTTTTAACTACAATAATACCCACCAAATATTTCTTTGACTCCCCAGTCTTATCACAGAAAAACTCCAGAGATTTAAAAGTAAAATCAAAAACAATAAAAATGCCAAAAGAAAATTTACATAAATATATTTAAGTAAATTTATAAAAAACACACTTAAGTCAGAAAAAATAGAGAAAAGGTACTGCTTTTAAATTTAAAAAAAAATCAGGAAATAAAATATTGAAGTGCAACTTTCACAATACAACTTCCGCCACATAATTGTCACACCAGTCTACTTGCTGCCCCTGTGACCTTCCCCAGTGCCAGAGTACACAGTCACAGTGGGGCGTGACCCTGCTCGTCAGGCGGCAACATATTCATCAGGGACAGGCAGATGCACAATCCATTCATTCATTCATTCATCATCCTGTTAATCGTCGATTGCCTCGAGCAGGCCCCAGTAACGTCTCTTTCATCCTAGCCCTGAGATTATATTCAAGGCTTTTTAGGAGAATGAGACCCATCATTGTTACTGGTATTTGGCATATTTGGTGCGCCACGGGGAGTTTGCCAGACTCTGCCCTGTGGGCAGGCTATATTCGATAGCCTGCAAGTTTGTCCAGAGTAGGAATCGGATAATGAGATATCATAAAAAGCACAATCCACCATCTTGAAAACCAAGCTCAAGGCCAGAGTCCTCAGCACACCCTTTCAGTCTTTTTTAGAAAGCTACCTGGTGCGGTTTGCTCAGGGCCTGCTCTATGAGAGGTATTGGTACTGTCACTTAACCAACAAGGTCGCAGGTCAGGGGAAGCTGGCCAGAGGTGAAGCTACTAGGAATAACTTATATGACATACTCTTCTCATGCTAACTGTGCAAGTCATCTAACAGCAATAGATTGAAACCACTGACTTGTGGTTTTTTAGTTTCTGCAGCCACCTCACGAACGAGGTGATCCAACTTCCTCATGAAAATGATGTAACAGGAAGCCACTCCCAGCGGCCAAGCCACTATCATGCAGCCACAGTATCTCTGAGTAATCGAGTCCTTTAAAAACCATGTGCGCTATTTCTACACCAAGGGGTTGATGAGCAGTTACCACCTATTGATGCCCTCTAGAAATATGAAGTGTCTGGCTTTGGAACTGTTTTGCATGTGGGTAATTAAGCGTCAGGGCCTTTATACCACATGAAACAGTGTGAAAGGTTCAAAAAGATGGGCATTCAAATGCACTACATGGTCTGAGGATGGTGCACTGTGTCAGAGTGATGGAGGAAATGCATCTTATATGAACTACACCAAGGAAAGCATCTCACACAATGAGACGAAGGACAGCAGAATCTTGACTTAGGAGGTCACAACGGAGACGTTACTGGGCCCACTTGAGCAAATCGATGAACAAGGGGAGGACAGTATAGTGCTATTTTTTTTTTAATGTGGAGTACTGCTATTTATTCAGCCACTGATTAGCTGATTGAATTGTGCATGAGCTCCACCTTACTTTTTTTTCATTTTTTATAATTTTATTTATTGAATCACCATGAGAGCAGTTACAAAGCTTTTGGGTCTAAGTCTCAGTCATACAATGAAACACCCGTACCTTCACCAGTGCCCATTCCCCACCCCCAACAACCCCAGTCTACCCCCATCCCCCTACCTGTGGGGCAGATGATTTCCACATTACTCTCTACTTTGATTACATTCAATGGGGTCTGGCCAAAGGCACAGCAACAATTTTGGGGTATCTGGAAGTCTGAAGGCGCCATCAGGCTGCTGATGTACTCGCCTCACAGGTATAGATTGACCTGCTGGCGGCACCATACCCCCAGGTTTGTACTTTTTACAAACAAAATACTGTAGTAAATTTTCTCCAGTGTAGAATTTCAACTATAATGCACCAAATAATGTTTTATTTTCCCCAAGACCAGCAAAATGTTCACTAAACTGTCATAAAGAAATGATTTGAACTATTCAATTTTAATATAAACAAGGCTTCACATAATAATGACTTGACAGAAAACATAAGACGACAGGACTATAAGATAAATGTTGGAATGATTTCTGAGTGCAGAGCCAGGAGTAAGCTCTGAGCATGGCTGGGTATAGCCCTCAGCCCCCCTCACTCCCCCCCCGCCCCCCCGCTAAAAGCATCAAGTTTCATAAAATTCATTAAAAAAAAGGCACTTGTTTCCCCTAAAATTGATATAACCTATGTTAAACTGGGGCTGAAAATATTTTGGATCACTAAAAGAGCTAACCATAACCTGTTTAATATTTATTTACAAAGAAACATCTATATATAAAAGTAAATTATCTGCCCTCTCATTCATTATAAATTCTAATTAGTAAAACAAGGGCATTTACTCATAATAAAGAATGTAATACTTTATAAATATGGCATCTGAAAAAGTTTTATTATTATTATTTTTCCTTTTTGGGTCACACCCTGGCTCTGTACTCAGATATTACCCCTGGCGGTGCTCAGGGGACCATATAGGATGGTGGAAATCAAATCCGGGTCAGGCACGTGCAAGGTAAACGCCCTACCAGCTGTGCTATCGCTCCAGCCCCAAGTTTTATAATGTTTAAATAGAGAAAAAAGACTTACCGTCCAAAATTTTATAAAGTACTGTAAAACTGTTGCAGCCACAAAAAGGCAATATAATAAGGAATAAAATAAAAACAGCAGGAAGAATTTGTAATTAGAAAATCCTACACAGTTATTCACCCTAGAAGAATAAAAAAAAAAATCATGCTGTTAAAAATAAGACAATTCACAAACCTATGAACTCAGACTATAGGACAGTGTTAGCCAGAAGGCAGGATAAGTGGGCTGTGGGCACTCGATGCTAGCTTAGAGTCTCAAGATAAAACCACACAATAACGTGAGCATGCAGAAATAGTTAAGTGGTAGGTATTCTTGATAATCGCAATGATAACAAAAAAATTTAATCATTTCTTTTGCTTGTCTGTTTTTGGGCCACAGCTGGAGGTGCTCTGGGCTTTCTCCTGGCGGGTTCAGGGAACCGTGGGAGGTGCTAGGGATGGGACCAGGGTTGGCTGTGTGCAAGACAAACACCCGACCTCCTATACTACTGTGCTGTATTCAATTGTACTCAAGTGTGCATGTCTTTTTAATAAATTCAATAAGGACTTTGGAATTTTAATATTAATTTTTAATATAACTGCTTTAGTAACAATTAAAAGTACTTAGCATGAGCTTGTGCATACAAATGTAAACTTATGGAGTTACAACATATATGTGTGGTATATATATAAAGCCAGATCAATATCGAGGTCATTAAACTGACATGTAAAACTTAGAAACTCTGAAGCCCATCACTCCCAAGTCTCTCCTACTTCTCCGCCTGCATACATGATTTCCTCTACTTTTATACATACCAAGGACAGTGGTGATCCATCTTAAGAATACATCTAAGAAAGAAATAAGCCGAAGAAAATAAATGTAAAAATTCTAACTTAAGAAAATCTGACTTCAATTACTCTCTATACAAACACATCTTAGAAAAACAAATCATTAAACATCAGATTTGAGAAAATTTCTGACATTTCCACAAACATTTTCATTAGTAAGAGGTAATAATTTTTTACACTGGGGATTCAAATGAGCATAGACACATCAAGTGACTTGGTAGATAGGTTCAGTTTACAAATCTGTTGAGGAAGACAAAATGAAATACAATTTCTATGTTACTTTAGAACATATTAAATCAAAGATAAAACCTGAGAGGCAAGTTTGTTCAAATTATAGGGAATTACAGATGATTATTTTCCCACATTATTTATACACTTCTATTCAATGTATAAGTACAATTATACATTTATAATTAAAAAAATCCCTAAATTTTCCTCCTTGCTATTATGTAAACAGTACATATTTGGATAAAATTAGACCACAGTTCTTCCTAAGTAAGAAAGCAAGTGTGTAAACCCTCAGTATGTTACTCTCAGGATGTCAAATGGCTTATGTAAAGTTCAGGACTAGCTGGGATTCCTAACCTAGGAATCTTTCTTTACCATGCTATGTTCTCACAGAGCACAGAGAATAAAAACTTCCCTATTTTTCTGAGAACATTGCCATGGGCGATAACTGAAAATATTTCTATGGTTAATTAGGTTGCTATGGCAACATGAATGATAACTGCAAATCAAGGTTTCTAAAGAAGGAAGCAAAGCTATATATGACTCACTCGTCAATATTATTTTAAACATATGCATAGGAAGTATGTTTAAAAAAACTGTTACAATTGGTACAGGGACTTCAAAGTCTCCTTTAACATATGAATAATTTTTGTTAGCCCTGCATGTATACCAAATAATGGGAGAGGATGAAGTGGCATTTTGCCCAGAACCATGTAAGTTCCTTTCCTTCCATCAGCTGTCACTGAGTGACCCCAGGCAAAGCCTGGGGGGGTGGGGTTCGGTGGTCACTTACCGGTCACATGCTGAGCAGTGGTGTGCTCGGTCAGGTTTGATCAACTGACATTTTTCACAATATCGAATCGCTACATTGAAGAACCAAAAAAAAGCTGTTTAATGGGCGTTCACCTAATTGGACATAAAATTTGCTTTTATTTTAAAAATAAACATGCTGGGAAATTGACAAGTAATAACCTTTAAATAATACCAAGATGCACTGGAGTACTTCTGAAATCAGAATGTCAAGAGATGGTCCTTAGGAATGTTGTTCATCTAACAATGGCACATAAAAAGCAAATCCATTGTATGCATGAAATTATCATTAACAGTATTGCAAATCATGGGGCCTTAATAAAAAACGGAAGGGAAATCAACTCCTTCCACAAAATTTTAATACCAGTGATGGTCAATTTATAAATTCATTTAAAACATAACACCTACTATTTGACAAATACTATCTCAGACATAAATCTCCATTCTCACAAAACATTTCCTCTATTGAAGAAAACACAGAGCAACATAAATAAGTTAACAAAATGATTCTGTAATTGAAATAAGGGAGTTAGTGAATCACATAGGTATTTAAAAAGCGGACCATAAGCAGAAAGAACATGTCTTCAGGTAGAAATTTGTTTTAGGAACTGCTCCATGTAATTGGAGAGAATTAAAAAAAGGCACATCAGATGGACAGACAGAAGCAAGGTCAGATGAGGCTTCTTCTCCCAAGTCATTTTAAGACTCTTGATCAGCTGAGATCCACCATGATGAAAGCTTAATTAGAATTCATTCATAAGCTGAGATTTGGTTTTTATTTTCTTGATTTTTATTTATAAAGTACAAATAAACGACAAAATATATATATCTGAGATTCACGAGGGCACTGTTCCAAGACATTATTTTTTTTCATTAAAAATCTTTTTCTTTGGGACTGGAGCCATAGTACTGTGAGTAGGGCATTTGCCTTGCAAGTAGCTGACCCTGGTTTGATCCCTGACATCCCCCGAGCACTGCCAGGAGTAATTCCTAAGTGTAGAGCCAGGAGTAACCCCCCCAATACTCACCCCCCACAAAAAAAAAATCCTTAAATCCATTACTTTGCTTTTAAAGATCACAGTAAGATAGTAAGATACTGTATTTCCAAATAAAAATACTATGGAAAGCAAACAAATTGCACAGCAATTTTGCAACCAGACTTTATATAAGGTCCTTTCATAAACAGCTGAAAGTTATATAGATTTGAATATTAAGCTGACAAATAGTCCATCTCTTTAGTAGCAGTTTCTTTGGGAACTATCTGCCTGGCCTATGAGCCACCTTCAGCACAAAAACTGTTTCAGACTCTAATTTGTTCTGTGCAAATCCAGCCCTCCCCTTTCAGTTCACACTCTCCCCCGTAGGCATTAAGCACTGGGCCTGAGAGTGAATGCACCTGGTGCTGGAGCTGTGAACACTGGCAGTTGTCCTGGTGTGTAGACTGGGTAAGTGAAAAACAGCTGGGGGTCGCTGTCAAAATTGAAGCTATAGACAGTGATAAGCAGGGACAGCTGCAGTCTCCTTACATCTTCTCAATGCTGGGACCCAGTTCTTTTTTCTTTGCTTTGCTTTTTGGGTCACACATGGTGATGCTCAGGGGTTACTGCTGGCTCTGCAATCAGGAATTACTCCTGGCGGTGTTTGGGGCACCATGTGGGATGCCAGGGATCCAACCTGGGTCAGTCCTGTGCAAGGAAAATGCCCTACCCGTTGTACTATCACTCTGCCCCCTCTCCCCCATTCTTTTTAATAAATCCTGTCTTTACTTGCATAGGCTTATAGGAAATATTTACTAATTCCTCATACTAATTCCTTTTGGAATCTTTTGTTATAAGGGGTCAATAAGTTAAAAGCTTAAGTTATTGTTACTTAAAGTTTTTAAGTCCTTTTGTTTGTATTTTAATCCACCCAGCAGTGCTGAAGGCTTATTCCTGACTCTGTGCTCAGGGAGCAGTCCTGGGGATCCCTGAGGGATCTATCTATAATGTGATAAGAGGGATTGAACCCTGGTAAGCTGTGAGCAAGGCAATTGCCTCACCCATTGTACTACGGCTCTAGCCTCTCTTGTTTTCTTCAATTTTTGTTTTTTGCTTTCTGGATCACACCCAGAGATGCTCAGGGGTTAAGTCCTGGTTCTGCACTCAGGAATCACTCCTGGCGGTGCTGACAGGGAGAGGGGCATATGGACTGCCGGGGATCAAACCAGGTCAGCCACATGCCAGGCAAACTCCCTACCTGCTATACTATCGCTCCGGGCGCTGGCCTCCTCTTTGTATATATAACAATAAAATGCATCACTTTCCAGATCTGCATTAACAGATATAGGAGAAAGATGCAAAGCTCTTTGAGTTTTGAACCACTGGTGGAGCTGAGAGGTTACTCTTAGGGCACTGCTGTGTGATTGGGGATGGATCCCTGCAGTGTTGGGAAGAGCTGGGTTGCCAAACCACTCAGCTCTCCTGTGTAGCCTTCAGAGCAGTGGTGGAAGTCACACCTACTGCCTGGAACTCTCCAGGTCACACAATCTGTAGTGGTTAATATTACTCTATTCCAACTGTTCTATGTTAATCGCACACATATTCTGCAGTGCTTCATCACATATACACAATTGCTATATTGGAGAGGTGGCAGCCTCTGGGAGCAGCCAATGGAGAGAGAACTTCAAGTTTCACTCTGGACCCTTGGAGACATTTACTGAGATAATCATGTATGATATAATTTAAGCAAAGATTTATTTTTAATTTTTATCATTTTTGGTTTTGGGGTCATCCCCAGCAGTGCTCAGGAATCAACCCTGGTGGTGCTCAGGGGACCATATGGGATGCCAGGGATCAAACCTCAGTCAAGTGCAAGGAAAATACCCCACCCACTGTACTATCATTACAGGCCAAAACAAAGATTTCTTTAAGATGAGAGAAACTTCTACAAATCCACTTAAAAAATGAATAGATTATACTTCACTAAGGACCTATAAAAATTATTTTGTCATGTTAGACATTAAAGAAATAAAATTATGCCACAGAGAAAAAAAGTTATAAAGAACTTTCAAAGATCTCCATTCTTTAATCTCTGTTAGTTTTAAGACATCCGAAACCTCAGACTGGCCAGAGTGACAGTACAGCGGGTAGGGCATTTGCCTTGCACGCAGTCGACCGGGATTCGATCTCAACATTCCACATAGTTCCCTGAGCACTGTTGTAATTCCTGAGTACAGAGCCAGGAGTAGCCCCTGAGCACTGCCAAGTGTGACCCAAAAAGGCAAAAATAAAACAAAAGGACAAAACCCCAAAACTTCATAGAGGATGATTTGCCCAATACTATGTAGCTAAATGAAGGTAAGATCGGAAGTGGAAGCCAAGGATCCAACTTTCCTTTCCTACATACTTCACTCAAAGTTCTTTTATGGGGGAGGAAGGTAAAGAGTCTTGGGCCACACTCTGTGGTGCTCAGGACATTCTCTTCGCTCTGCACTCAGGAAGCAAATCCCAGGGGACCATATGGGGTGTCAGGGATCAAACAAAGGTCATCTGCATGCAAGGCAAGTGCCCTACACACTGTACTATCTCTCTGGTACCTCCAAGTTCTCATACTGCTCTGAAAAATCAGATGATCTTGCTATGAATCAATTCCTAAAACAAAATGTGCCAGAATATTATGTAATCTCAGGGGTTCATAAAGTCTCTGAAATCTTGGAAGATGTGAAAACATCCAATCTATAGAACTCTAACAACTAATAATTGTTATAAGTCCTAAGCATTGCTGGGTATGGCACCCAAATCCTCTAAGATTAATACAGATTTTTAAAAGTGGCTCACTTTACTTAGAAGTGAGACGCTTTTAAAAGCCTGTATTAAGGCGCTGGAGTGATAGCACAATGGGTAGGGTATTTGCCTTGCACGTGGCCGACCTGGGTTTGATTCCCAGCATCCCATATGGTCCCCTGAGTACCACCAGGAATGATTCCTGAGTGCAGAGTCAGGAGCAACTCCTGAGCATCACTGGGTGTGATCCAAAAAGAAAAAAAACCAAAACAAAACAAAATCTGTTCTAATATATATGCGACAGCACAGCGGGTAGGCCATTAGCCTTGTACGTGGCTGACCCAGGTTCGATTCCTCCACCCCTCTTGGAGAGCCCAGCCAGCTACCAAGAATATATTCTGCCCGTATGGCAGAGCCTGGCAAGCTACCCGTGGAGCATTCAATATGCCAAAAACAGTAACAAGTCTCACACTGAAGACATTACTGGTGCCCGCTCGAGCAAATTGATGAACAACGGGGGGACAGTGCTACAGTGCTATAGTTTATAATTAGAATATCTTACAACACAGAACTTTTGTTCCTACTATGAAGAACACTGCCATATTCCTTAGCACAACTATGACTATCCATTTAACAGTTAAATTATGCAAAGTATCTTAACAGAAATAACTATATTAAAAAAAACTCCTTGAGAAGATTAAAAAAATTTTTTTTCTTACTCCTTGTAGCTGATGCAGTGTAGATAGGTAAGTCCCTTGCTGCCCTTCTCAAAATTTCTTGTTGTCTTTCTTGGTTAAATTCTTTTTCATACCGTTCCTTGTCAGATTTGGGCAAATAGAACTATAAAAGGAGAAATAACTATTAATTCATTTTACTCCATGATTATTAACTTATACCCGAAATCCAAAGTTTTATCCAGAACAGATGAAAGCAGACCAAATATTCATCTTCAATTTTTTAAAAAGGTTAAATAAAATACATTTAAATATAACTACATTTGCCAGATTAAAATATTTTCTCATACTGGCGGGAAAGAATACTATCAAAATGTCTGTATATTTTTGTTCTGTCAAAAAATTTAATATTTAATATCTTCTCCATAGATAGAGGATTTCCTTCTTTCTTATCCTTTTCTTATCCTTTTTCTTCTTTCTGTGAAACACTATACTTTTTATTGAATAAAATGCTTAAAACGTTTGAGAGGAAAGAAAGGGGAAATATATGTTCAAGAGAGTATATGTCTTTAGACATAGATAAACAAAGAAACATACCATGAGCAAGTGAGGTGTTCAAGGGAGATCATGGGTTTGTATATCCTGGATATCAACCCCTTGTCAGATGTGTATTCAGTGAATATCCTTTCCCATTCTGTAGACTGTCTTTGTATTTTGGTCACTGTTTCTTTGGAGGTGCAGAAGCTTCTTAGTTTAAGATAGTCCCATTTATCTATCTCTGTTTTCACTTGCTCGGCCAGTGGCGTGGCATCTTTGAAGATACCATTAGCTTCAATGTCATGGAGGGTTTTGCCAACTTTATCTTCAATGTACCTTATGGTTTCTGGTCTGATGTTGAGGTCTTTAATCCATTTTGATCTTACTTTTGTACATGGTGTTAGGCAGAGTTCTGAGCCTATTTTTTTGCATGTAGCCATCCAGTGATGCCAACACAATTTATTAAAGAGGCTTTCCTTACTCCACTTCACATTACTTGCACCTTTATCAAAGATTAGATGAGCATATGATTGAGGAGAGATGTCAGTGTATTCAACCCTGTTCCATTGGTCTGCAGTTCTGCCTTTGTTCCAGTACCATGCTGTTTTAATTATTACTGCTTTGTAGTACAGTTTGAAGTTCGGGAGGTTGATTCCTCCCATTTTCTTTTTCCCAAGAATTGCTTTAGCTATTCGTGGGGGCTTATTGTTCCATATAAATTTCAAGAGTGTTTGCTCCATTTCTTTGAAGAATGTCATGGGTATCCTTATAGGGATTGCATTGAATTTATACAATGCTTTCGGTAGTATTGCCATTTTGACAATGTTAAGTCTCCCGACCCATGAGCAGGGGATATCTTTCCATTTCCTCATGTCCTCTTTTATTTCCTGAAGTAGCGTTTTGTAGTTTTCTTTGTACAGGTCCTTTACTTCCTTAGTTAAGCTGATTCCTAGGTACTTGATTTTCTGGGGCACAATTGTGAATGGGATTGTTTTTTTCATGTTGCTTTCTTCTCTCTCACTGTTTGCGTATAGGAAAGCCATGGACTTTTGGGTATTGATTTTATAACCTGCAACTTTACTATACGAGTCTATTGTTTCTAGGAGTTTTTTGGTGGAAGTTATTGGGTTCTCTAAGTAGAGTATCATATCATCTGCGAATAGTGAGAGCTTGATTTCTTCCTTTCCTACCTGAATGCCCTTAATATCTTTTTCCTGCCTAATCGCTATTGCAAGTACTTCCAGTACTATATTGAACAGCAGTGGAGAGAGTGGGCATCCCTGTCTCGTCCCTGAAGAGCAAGCCCGAAAAAGGAATAGTTTTTTTCTATCTGTAAGACTTTAGTATTTGAAAGTTAGTCATGAGATCTGTAATTTTGGAAAGGATGCCCAAAATTTCGCATGCTTTAGACAACAGACTAAATCACAGGCTTTCTCTCTCAAAATGTCTGAGGGCAACAAGTCATTTTTCAGTACCGAGTTTTAGCTCTAGAAAGATAACCTAAATTCTCTGAAAGTGTCAAGACAAGCAAGCTTTCCTTTTCACAGAGATGCACTTTGCTTCAAGCCCATGTCAGAATCCCTTTCCAACATTCTGAGCTCTCTGGTTTGGTTACAGCTTCTAAAGTGCCTTTCTCTAAAGTAGCATTTTCTTGGTAAAGAACTCTTAGTTGTTCTTTCTGTATCATTAAGCATCTCATGAACCTTCAGTTTTATAGGTCTACTCAGATACCGTGAAGCTTTACATTTTAGTCTTTATTTCAGAAGAAATTTTTTTTTAAAGATGTGTTTTGTTTCGGATTTTTTAGCTCTACTGTTCTTTAATTGTGACTTCTTATAGGCTTTTGCTTGAAAAGGTATAGAAAATTGTAACTGAAAATTTATCTTACTGATTACTTAGAGCTGGAGAGAAGTACAGTGGGCAGGTTATTTGTCTTGCATGCAGCCAATCAATGTTTGATCACTGACTCCCCATATGGCTTGACCTGACTTCTTGCCTTACATGCTCTGGACCCTGATTTGATCCCCAGATCTGTACAGGGTCCCTAAGAACCCCCAGGAATGGTCCCTGAGCACCAACCAAGAATAACCTAAGCAAAGCTGTACATGGGCCTCCCAACACCTCCCAAATTAAAGATTTTGGCACTGCTCCAGGTGCCAGAGATTCAAGAACAAAAATATAGCCCTTGTCTTAGAAAGTACTAGATTGGTATTCCTTTTCCTTTTTTTTTTTAAAGTGAAGTAATATAGATTTTATTGAGCCACGCTTACTTAGATATGAAGGGAAAGAAAGAGAAGAAATACATGTTCAAGAGAGAACACTGGCTCATCCACGGTGCAAAAAAACAAAGATACAGAGACAAGGTAAGTGAGTTATGCATTCTAGGGAGAACACAAGCTCGAAGAGCAAGCCGAGACTGCAGTCCTTTTTATACTAGAGGGTACAAATGTTATAGCATATATAATAATTTTAAGCTTAAACTTTTTAATCACTTCACTTAATCACTTAATCCCCGTTATTCATCGATTTATTCGAGCGGGTGCCAGTAACGTCTCCATTCATCCCGGTTGCGTGCTAGCGTAGCCCAATGGTATCTGTTCGTTTTAATAAAAAATTTAAAAAAATTAAATCTCCCTGGGGCAGGGGAGGGAGCAGACTATCAATGAAAATTTCTTTTTTTTTTTTCCCTTTATTTTATTTTATTTTTTTTAAAGTTGTAGATTTACAATTTTTTGTGCTTTGGTTTCAATTATACAATGATCAGATACCCATCCCTCCACCAGTGCCCATTTTCCACCACCATGGATAATATCCCTCCCACCCCCATCCCCCCATCCCCCCGTCTCTGTGGCAGGGCAATCCCCTGTGTTCTCTCTCTCCTTTTGGGTGTTGTGGTCTGCAAAAGAGGCATTGAGTGGCAAACATGTTCAGTCCATAGTCTACTTTCGACATGCATCTCCCCTCCTGGGAGGATCCTCCAAACATCCTTTATTTGGTGCTCCCTTCTCTATCTAAATAGCCCTTTCCTCTAGGATACCCGGCTGGCCTCTAAGTTATGGAGTAATCCTCCTGGTGCTGATCTCAGCTATTCTTGGGTATTAATCTCATACTTTGTTACTTTATATCCCCCAGATGAATGCAATCTTTCTATGTCTATCCCTCTCTTTCTGACTCATTTCGCTTAGCATGATACTTTCCATATTGTACCACTTGTATGTAAATTTCATGACTTCATCTTTTCTAAGAGCTACATAGTACTCCATTGTGTAGATGTACCAAAGTTTCTTTAACCAGTCATCTGTTCTTGGGCATTCAGGTTTCTTCCAGTTTCTGGCTATTGTAAAGAGGGCTGCAATGAACAAACAAGTGCAGATGTCACTTCGACTATACATTTTTGCCTCTCTGGGATATATTCCCAGGAGTGGTATTGCTGGGTCAAATGGGAGCTCAATTTCTAATTTTTTGAGAATCGTCCATACTGTTTTCCAGAAGGGCTGAACCAGTGGACATTCCCACCAACAGTGAAGGAGTGTCCCTTTCTCGCCACATCCGCGCCAGCATCGGTTGCTTTTGTTCTTTTGAATGTGGGCCAGTCTCTGAGGTGTGAGATGGTATCTCATTGTGGTTTTGATCTGCATCTCCCTGATGATTAATGATGTAGAGCATTTTCTCATGTGCTTTTTTGCCATTCGGATTTCTTCTTTGAGAAAGTTTCTGTTCATTTCATTGCCCCATTTTTGGATGGGGTTGGATGTTTTCTTCTTGTGGAGTTTAACCAGTATTTTGTATATCCTGGATATCAACCCCTTGTCAGATGTGTATTCGGTGAATATCCTTTCCCATTCTGTAGACTGTCTTTGTATTTTGGTCACTGTTTCTTTGGAGGTGCAGAAGCTTCTTAGTTTAAGATAGTCCCATTTATCTATCTCTGTTTTCACTTGCTCGGTCAGTGGCGTGGCATCTTTGAAGATACCATTAGCTTCAATGTCATGGAGGGTTTTGCCAACTTTATCTTCAATGTACCTTATGGTTTCTGGTCTGATGTTGAGGTCTTTAATCCATTTTGATCTTACTTTTGTACATGGTGTTAGGCAGAGTTCTGAGCCTATTTTTTTGCATGTAGCCGTCCAGTGATGCCAACACAATTTATTAAAGAGGCTTTCCTTACTCCACTTCACATTACTTGCACCTTTATCAAAGATTAGATGAGCATATGATTGAGGAGAAATGTCAGTGTATTCAACCCTGTTCCTCAATGAAAATTTCTTGAAAGAAATAGTATCTAGCATGGAGTGTGAAAAAATAAAAGGAATCTTCCCCCGGAAGATAAAGAGGAAAAGAGAATCTTGGTGAAGAAAGGCATATGAAAAGTACAAATATATAAACGTAGTCTGGAATCACTTGATCACTTGATCCCCCGTTATTCATCGATTTACTCTAGCGGGTGCTAGTAACATCTCCATTCATCCCTGTTGTGTGCTAGCGTAGCCCAATGGCATCTGTTTGTTCTAGAAACATGCAGAGCCTCAAACCAATCATTCAGGGTCTTGACAAGTCTGACCATCTTGTAGGTGGACGTCCACGCGATCTTTTGATGTCCTGTGGAATCCAGTCAGTAATGGCTCTAGT